TTGAGATGGAGTCTTGCTCTGTCACCCAGGCTGGAGTTCAGTGGCACAATCTCGGCTCACCGCAACCTCCCCCTCCCGGGTTCAAGTGATTCTCCTGCCTCAGCCTCCCAAATAGCTGGGATTACAGAAACACAGCACCGCACCCCGCTAATTTTTGTATTGTTAGTAGAGACGAGGTTTCACCATTTTGGCCAGGCTGGTCTCGAACTCCTGACCTCATGATATGCACGCCTTGACCTCCCAAAGTGCTGGATTACAGGTGTGAGCCACCAACCATGCCCAGCCTACACACACAGCTTCTAAGACCGAGACGCAACGTCTGCAGGCCACCGAGGCCAGGCTGGACACTGTTTACCTCAAGCCTTGTGCCTGCTGTCCCAGTCACCGACGTACACTCTGGGAGTGGAATTTATTTGCTGACCATGCGACCCTCACATTGCTCACAAGGTGAGCAGAGGTGTCCTGTCCTCTTAGAAATGAGGTCTCCATCCTGGCCCCTCCACAGCAGGCCGTGGTGTGATGAGGTTCTCGGGGGATGCTGACCAGCCTCTGTGAAGGTTGCTCAGTTTGCTGGGAATGAGCCTGGAGGACCAGATGGAGAGGAGGATGGTGACACTGCCAGCCACCTACTGAGGATGTCGTCCTCCTAACAAACTCCGAGGGGCTCCCTGATTTCCCCCCTCTGCAGATGAAGAAGCTGAGGCTAGGGAAGGGTGAGGGCCTTTCCCATGGTCAACAGCTCCGCTCTGCTCAGCAGGTGGTTTCCACCCCTGGACACAGCGTCCCCAGGGATGCAGACATCCTCTGGGGCTGGGGCCCCACCAAGCGACTGAAAGGGATTTCCAGGTCCCCTTGTGGGTACCAAGGATGAGGCCAAGGGCAGGAACTCCCCATCAGGCCATGTGGCTGCTGCCTAGGCATTTTGATGCCAACCTACTTCCCCAGAGGGCATCACTGCCTTGATCTCACAGGGCTGGTAGCCCCAGGGGCTGTGCTCAGCCTTTTCAGAGTCTCACATCGGCCTGGCCAAGGCTTACCTGACATAGGTTGGAATTTCCCTTGAGACTTACCTGAATGTTGGGCTTGGGAATGGAGTGATAGCCTGTGGTTTTCTCAGCCCCAGGACCAGCTGAGGCCATGGAGGCGGCATCGTGGACTTTATAGGAGATCCCGTGGCTGCAGGAGCACCCATGAGCTGCTGGTTCTGGGAGAGAGTAGGAGGTGTCCAAGTCAGCAAAGATTGTTTCACTGGGACAGATCAAAACTTCACCCTTGAGTTGTGGATTAGTCCGTTCTCACACTGCTCATAAGGAAATACCTGAGACTGGGTAGTTTATAAAGGAAGCAGGTTTAAGGGACTCACAGTTCAGCGTGGCTGGGGAGGCCTCAGGAGACTTAGAATCATGGCAGAGGGGAAGGGGAACAGGGCACCTTCTTCGCAAGGCAGCAGGAAGGAGCAGTGTAAGCAGAGGAAATGCCAGATGCTTATTTATAAGATCTCCTGAGACTCACTCACTATCACAAGGACAACACAGGGGAGCCGACCCTATGATCCAATGACCTGCACTTGGTCCTGTCCTTAACACGTGGGAATTATGGGGATTATAATTCGAGGTGAGATTTGGGTCGAGACACAGAGCCAAACCATATCAAGTTGTATTCTGTTCATGAAAATCTTAATTTATTTCCTCCTCTGAATGGCACCTTGCGGGGCACTCTCTCATGAGGCAGTGTCCTTGTCTGTCTAGGGTGTTGAGTCCACATTCTACTGGGGCAACCCAATTCCAGTAGGATGCCGTTCAAGAAGAGAGTTCTTCCCACTCACTGAAATCCCTCCCTCCGCCGTGAAAGCCTGCTGTGCCGTGGCCGTCCACGAGAAACAGACAGCAGCTCTCACGCCAGCTGTGGATGAAGCACTGGCCGCTGCGGCTCAGCCAGGGGCTGAGTAGGTTTAGAGGTTGTGCGGCCCAGACCCAAGCCCTGGAGAAGAACAGGTGCGCCTGCTCAGGCTGCGTAGCGAGGGAACCCAGGGCACTCCGCACACACCTGGGCACAGCCTCCCTCGGGAAGCACCCAGGCCTGTGTCCACCCTCACTGGGGTGAACTCCCTCGGGACGCACCCAGGCCCGCGTCGGCTCTCGCTGGCGCGACCTCCCTCGGGAAGCACCCAGGCCCGCGTCGGCTCTCGCTGGCGTGACCTCCCTCGGGAAGCACCCAGGCCCGCGTCCGCCCTCGCTGGCGTGACCTCCCTCGGGACGCACCCAGGCCCGCGTCCGCCCTCGCTGGCGTGACCTCCCTTGGGACGCACCCAGGCCCGCGTCCGCCCTCGCTGGCGCGACCTCCCTCGGGAAGCACCCAGGCCCGCGTCCGCCCTCGCTGGCGTGACCTCCCTTGGGACGCACCCAGGCCCGCGTCCGCCCTCGCTGGCATGACCTCCCTTGGGACGCACCCAGGCCCGCGTCCGCCCTCATTGGCGCCTTTGTGCCCTTCGTTGTCTCTGAGGTGAGTGGCTGCTCCTAGCAGCGTCCATTTGGACCTGACCTCAAAACTGAATGTTGAGAGTTCACATTTATTCTCACTGACTGGGCTGATGAGAGGTGACTTCCCAGACGTGCCCAGGGATGGACCTTGCCCTATTCTAGAAGGCATGCTTGTGTCTCAGAAGGGACAGGAACGCGCTGAGCCACAGTACCCCAGCTCTGCAGCTCTCAGGGTCGGAGGATGAGCTCCAGCCCAGAAGTGGTTCTGTGAGCACCAGGCCTGAGCTCAGAGCCCAGCAGCTGCTGACACAGGTGACTTAGAGCCGGAAATTCCTGAAGCGAGTTAGACCCGGGGCAAAACTTAACGGAAAACAGTGTACGCCCCCTTGCTGCCTGTGCCCCGGCCACTGCCCCAGGGGCTATGGAGGTGGAACGTGGGCCGGCAGACTCCAGGGCATAAATCGGCCCTGCCTGACAGCCTGGGCCTCCCTGCAGCAGCGCCATGCCCCTGGCACTTCCCTCTACAAGGCCCTGACTTTCCCATGCTTCTAGACCCTCACAGCCTCAGGAGCAAGGCCAGGACGGGAACAGGCCCAGACCCGTGTTTTCTTGTCTACGTGGACCCAAAAGAAAGGCAGAGTTCTCCCAGTGCCCCGTGACACGTTCAAGCCACACTGACCCGGGATTGCAGGGCTGCACACGGAGCCCACACAGAGATGACGCGGGGCCGCCGGCCTGTCCCGAGACCCAGCCATGAGATGACTGATAAGTGCCTGTCCACGCCCCGACGTTCTTTCTGGAATGGGAGCTGAGGGAAGGACGTCACCGTCAGTGCTCAGGCCTGCAGCCCCGTGATGAGGGTCCCGCACAGGGAGGGGTCCAGACTTAAACCCAGTAAAGAACAGATCCAAGAGAAGGAAAAAGGAAACTCCGTCCACGCCTTTAAATTTCACACCTGTGCAGATGGGAGACCACCCCTGCCACTCTGCGAAACAGGCTGCGTGTCTCAAGCCCAGGAGTGCTCTCCTTAAAACTTGGAAAAGGGCTTTTCACTGTTCAGTTGTAAGAATTCAAATTAGGACAAATGCAACGTTATTTAATTGAGAAGATCAGTTTTCCAATTTGGAATGTGTTCAGACACTATTTGGTCCAATTAGTGCAGCCAACACAATTCCTGTGTGGCTGAAAGATCCAGACACCATTACGCTTGGCAGCTTGAAAAGAAGGAGCCTGCCTCAGGGTCTTCACCTCATGCAAAAGCAATCAGAAGTCCCAATGCCCGGTCACAACACAGCCTAACCCGGGCTTCCTCCCGGGGCAGCCCAGAGCCAGCAGAACAGCTGGCCAAGGTGCCTGTGGGCTCTGCTGCTTCCCCAGCGCCCTCAGCTGGATTCTGTGCGGCCTCGGCGTCAGCGTCTGCGGCACCCAGGCTGGGCACACCAAGCCATGGTTCTGGACTCTCAGATTCCCCGGACACGGCTCATCCGATTGAACTCAGTTCACACCAGAGCCTGGAGCAGAGATGAGAAAGGCTCACACTCTGCCCCAGGGGACACCCAGAAGTCGCTTAACAGAATCTGGAAAAGAAGAAGACAGCCACTGAGGAAGAGAGAACAGGGGGCTAAAGAGCTGGGCGCGTCCTGGCAAGCGGGGTTCCTGCGAACCACATGAGTGCCAAGGGCCTGGGGCAAGGAGCCTGAGGAGAGACAGTGGGAGTCCTGCAGACGCGGGAGGTGGAGGGAGAGGAGCACTCCCTCCTAGCACAGGATCAGCAGGAGCAGGAGGAGGATGGCTGCGAGCAGGCGGGCAGGCGGGAGGCTGGGAGGCTGCTCCCCGCGGCCCAGGGTCAGGTTCCGCACAGGCGCTTGTCAGGGAGGTGGGAGTGGGGGCATTTGAGTATGAAAGGGAGCTCATGTTTTCAAGCCAGGCTGTTCATGAGAAACCCCCCAGCTCCTGGTGCAAGGCCCGGAGAGACCAGCGTGAACAGCCCCTTGCAGCTCAGCTGCTTCTAAGATTGGTGGGCTGGTTAATCCCACAGCCTACAGCCCTCGTCTGGTGGTGGCCCCTGTCCCTGGGCTCAGCCTCTCTGCGACCCAGCCTCCCTGGAGCGCCTGCCTCCTCCCTCAGTCAGCACAGCCCTGGGCAGGGGTGGCCCTCCCACTCCAGGACGCTTGCCTTGGGGTTGCACCCTTCCACCACCCCACTGCTCACGTCTCCGGATTCCCACCCTTTACACTTCTTCCGGAAATGTTTTCTAAACGCAGCACGCCGTCCAGGTGCTTGGTCTACGCCCAGGATTGGCAGACATTTTCCATAAAGGACCAGATGGCAACCATTTTTGGCTTCTGGAGCCCACAGCTGTGTTGCTGCACGACAGCCTCACAACCGTGTGCATGCGGCCCTGCTTCACCCCGCGGCGCGTGGCGCTGCGATCGGAATTTAATATGGCTCTTATATGCTACAAAATGCTGCTGTTCTTTTCTTTCTGACCACGAAGAAATGCAAACACAGTTCTGAGCTGTCTTAGTTTTCAGTGTTAGGCCCCGGGCTAGGGCTGACCTTTCCCTGCTCCAGGTGTGGTCAGGGACTGCGCAGTCTAAGAGACGTGAGGCCCAGAAGGACAGAAGGTGTGGACGAGTCTGTAAAAATGCAGGTTTGGGCCTAGACTGGCCATCAGCCTGCTGCTGACACGGAAACCTTCTTGGGAAGTCCGAGAACGCACTGCTTCCTAGCAGCCTGAAAAACTTTCTCTGCTTCTTGAACAATCAAAGACAGAGCCCACCTTCGCCTGGAGCTCCTCCCTTTACCGGCGACTCAATGTTCCTGGAAACACAGACTCAGATGTGCCCATGCATATCACCCATGATAGCAGAGGCAACCGGCCCAGCTGCCAACCAGGCCCCCAGACCCACTCTGGATGCCAGCCCCACCCTGTGGAAGCACCTGTGATCAGGGATGCCTTCCGAGTGCGAGGAACCACGTACCGTGGCTGCTAGAGGTTGGGTTTGGAGGAAGACGCCCGCCTCTGTGCTCCTCCCCAGACTGCACAGCCCCATCTCAGCCTGGCATCGAAGGAGGACTGGCATCGGAGGCGCTGGGTGGAGGCCGGCATCAGAGGGGCGGGGCGGCACCCCTGCCTCACCGTTCTCAGCAGCGCTGTCTCCCACGACCACCACAGCATGCTGGCCAGCTCCACGGCTGCTGAGAGGCCTCCCCTTTACTCTGGGCCCCTGATAGCGGGTCAGAGGCCCCAGGAATAACAAATGTCTTCTCACGGCAAACATGCTGCACATTGGCGTGATTTCCCATTTTTCAGAAAAAGAGCCCATTTGCCTGGCTGGCATAGTAAGGAAGGGGCAGCCGCACCCCTGAGACACTCAGCCTCTAGCCATCCTGGAGGAAGGTCTCAGGCAAGCGAACGTGTGTCCGTGTGTGAGAATCCCGGGGCCCCACATGTGTGGGCTGGGATGCAGGAGATCCAGGGGCCACGGGGTACACTTGCGGAAGGTGGGGCTGTGGGACCTGGCAGATAGCCGTCGGTTCTGGTTTCAGGCCTCCAGACATCCCCTCTGACCCTGGCCGAGGCTCACCATGCTGCCTGGTTCAGGAGATGATCCCTTTCCAGAGCCACAGAGGCGTGACACAAGTGCCTTCATGGGACACACGTTCAAGCTACATACTCCATCCCATTGCTGAGCGGGTCAACACAGTGGTATTTGCTCCCCTCTTAGAAAAGCAAAGCATACATTGTAAGCACGGAGGCCACCCCAGCCATAGACCCTGGTAGATGGGAGGGAACAGCCTAACTCCTGGGTCCCACAGAGATTCCTGAGCACAGGAAGACATTCCAGCCTCCGCAGGAGTGTCTGGGTTTCTCAGCCTAGAACACAGGTTGAAGGAGGAATGGATCTAACATGTGTCCCCACGAATCTTGCTGCAGCCGGGAGACGGGAGCATCCCCTGCTTTGGGCATCCCATAGGCTGCTTCTCTGCTCCGCTGGGGCAGAGATCGGGTCAGAGGCCCCAGGAATAACAAATGTCTTCTCACTGCAAACACGCCACACATCTCAGTGTGAGTTCATGTTGTGGGCCGGGAGCATTATTCCCATTTTCCAGAAAAAGCACCCAGTTTGCCTGGCCTGGATAGTAAGGAAGGGGCAGCCAGACCCCTGAGACACTCAGTGATGGGTAAGCCAGGCTGGGCTCCTCCAGAAGGGCCTGCTGAGGGCCAGCGATGGGGAGGCCTCTGTAGGGTTACCTGAGCACAGACAGGAGGGGCTGAGGGGCCTAAAGCAGCCACCATCTAGCAAAGCCACCAAGTACAAAGGGCAGGAGCCGCCCTGTGCTCAGGGAAGGCACAAAGGTGCCCATCCTGCTGCTAGGCTTCCTCATGTGTATACCCTAAAACCTTGCCCCTGGGCAATGGGCCTCGCCCTAGATTAGATTTCATCACACACATGTGTGTGCCCTAAAACCTTGGCCCTGGTCAATGGGCCTCACCCTAGATTAGATTCCAACACAGAAAGCCCACATCTGCTTACACTGATGTCCTCTCTAGTGAGGTCCCAGCCACAGCTGCCACCAGCCGTGAGTGCAGGCACATGGCTGCCCACGAAGGGCTACGGAATGCTCTGGAAGACAAGCGCTGGCACACTGCCCCTCGGGGCCCACCCAGGAGTCGTGGGAGGGCAGACGTCCACTCCTGAGCCTGCAAGGGGTGGCTGGGAGGGAATATTAATTGGAAAAATAATCCCAAGGAACACAAATGACAAGGTCACCCAGCACATGCATGGAAATAAAGCTATGTGATTTTGGCACGTTCTCCCTAGGGCACCATCCCTGCAGGAATGGGGAGGGGGGCTTGGATTTCTTTCAAGGAGAAGGCCTACCCACTTCATCCTGGAGGGCATCTCTGAGGGGCTCCAGTTTTCTAACAGAGAGTCTGGGCCTGAAGCTGGTGGCTGAGAGAACCCGGGATTTGACCCAATACAGTCAAGGGATGGCCAGAACATGGGAGAAGGCAGGACCAAGAGTGGGAGGAGAAGACAGGTCAGGCAAGCCAGCACCGGACTCTGTGGGTCAGGTTGGTCTTCCAGGGAGAGGCCCCCTGGGTGCCCGAGGCAGACACCCCCATAGACAGGGCAGCTCCCTGCCTGCTGCCTGTGATGCTGCTCCTGCATGACTATAGGCAGAGGCCCCGAACTCAAACCCCTTGAGTTAAATTATCTCTGGAATGTGTGAGGAAGGGTCCATGGTGGGGCTTTATCCTTATAGAAATGCAGGAAGACCACCCCTGCGGGCACAGGGCCTGCCTGGTGCCATCTGAAGAGACACTGACACCCCACAGGAAGGGAACATTACAGGGTGTGGCTGTGGCCACGTTTGATTCAGGCTAGAAAGGACAAGTATTCGCATCACGTCAGTGAAGCCCTAAGCCCGCTCAGCACTGCAGTCCCATCGGGCCAGCTGAGAGAACAGGATCGCGAAAGGGTAACAGTCTCAGCTCCCCAGCTGTCAAGTGCTGTGAATCCAAAGCATAGGAAGCAGGTCCTTCAACCACAGGCTCTCACGGCGGAAGCCTTTCCCTTTCCTCGAGAGGCCCCTTCTTCACGCGCACTAGACGGTGGCCCCCGGCGGTGACCACGGGCTCCTAGGGCTCCTGGTGTTACATGTCACACGCGCTTGTACGTTTCAGATTACCACAATGGAGAGCAACCTGAAGACCATCGAAGAGGAGAACAAGGTGATTGAGCAGCAGAACGAGTCTCTCCTCCACGAGCTGGCGAACCTGAGCCAGTCCCTGATCCACAGCCTGGCCAACATCCAGCTGCCACACATGGTAAGTGACTGAGCTTGCGAGGCAGGAATGTGGAGTCCTCACGCGCACAGCCTAAAGTAGATGGCTTTTTAATTATTATTTTCACGGTTCTTCAACCTTTGGCAAATGTTTGCAGTTACCACCCCGAAACCATACTGTTAACGGCCAGAAACGTTGGCGGGGCTGATCCCATAAACTTAAGTGTGCTCTGAGCCGGCCTTTGAAATAGTATAAAACCAGGGGCACGATGCTATGATACTATTTTATGCTTTTGTAAATATACTATTAAGAAAATAAAAGTTGTATATGAACTACTATTTAATATCTCGTAGGATCCAATCAATGAACAAAATTTTGATGCTTACGTGACTACTTTGACGGAAATGTATACAAATCAAGATCGTTATCAGAGTCCAGAAAATAAAGCCCTACTGGAAAATATAAAGCAGGCTGTGAGAGGAATTCAGGTCTGAACAGCTGCTGTAGTGATGAAACTCTTGCTTAAAAAGGATGCCTCTTGTTTTTTGCTGCTGTAACTTACCAGAAAGTGTTCTATATTGATTTCTGTTTGGAACAGTGTTATGCTTACAAGACTTCATAATGATTTTATGTCTTGCTTTAAAAATAGTACCTGCAGAATAGTTTTTGAATACACCCACATTTTGTACGTTTCCATGTAAGCTGACATAGTGTTCTGCCATGTAATGTTTATAGCTGCTGATGTATGCACATTTGGGGGTATATCTATTTCTGAAGAGGTAAGCTGATCAAAATAAATAGAGTGTAAATTCTTTTTAATGCTTTAGTGATACATGTTTTAGTATTTTGAACTGAAACGGACACACACACACACACACACACACACTCACACACACAGCTTTGAATGATCATGTTGTGGCCAGCGGCCACTTTTTAGACATTATCATTTTGCCTCATGTTGGAGGACTTTATGGAATTTAAGAAATACATTTTGTGTGCATATTGTTTCATAGCAAGAATTGGTTGCAAAAATGCTTTATTTTTGAACAATGCTTGGAAATATTATGTGACTTTTTTGTTTGTTTGTTTTAGGAGGATGGTGTATGGTGGGGGCAATAAATGAGGTTTTTTGCATTCCAAGGAAATGGCATATGGATTAACTGTAAGAAATGAAATAAGTAATTTATTGTAAGACAACATCAAGCCATGGAAACTTGGCAGAAGATTCAAAGCAGCTTACACAGCACTTTTAAATTAACTCCTAAGCATTACATGGTGTGACTATGGAAACTCCAGTTAAGACAGGATCTTATCAGAGGTGGACAACATGAAGATTTCCTTTTCCGTTTTCAATAAACTTTGGAACAACCTTCCCGTATCTCCCCTAGAGTTCCGTGCCCCTCTGAACTGTCTGTTACTGCAATGTAGTTTATCGACAGAGTTTGTGTGTTTTCAATTTAAGCTAAAAGATAATTTAAGAGCATTTATTTCCCCTTTTCACTTTAAAAGATTATGATTATTACTATGATTGTTATGAATCTTCTTATTTTACACTTGAGGGATAAAGGCAAATGATTTGTGAGTCTTCTAGTTGCTGGACCGAGTTTTCTGCTGGATCTGGTGGGGAGGCGGCCAGTAAAGTCCCTCTCCTGCTGCCCCCGCCCGACTTTGACTCTGAGCAAGCGTTTGGTCCTGTTCAGAGGACTCTCGCCACGACGTCTCTCTTCGACACTTGGCTGGAGACCAGTTGACCATAGAGCATTTGCAGAGCCTTGTTGTTTGATTTCTTCTGACTATTCTAAGAATGAATGCAATCAGATTTTAAAAGTAACTAAATATACTTCAGCACTTTTTTGCTTTAAACTAGATCATCTTAGACTTGTTTATACCTTTCAGATTTGATTGTTTTACTCCAAATGACTGCACTATATGTATGCATAAGACCACTTTTGAGCGCTGCGTCCCCTTTCTGAGTAGTCCTTTGACGATGTGTTGTGTTTTCTGATGTTGACTTGATTTCCATTTAATAGCACCTCTTCCTTCCATGTCTTGATGTTATGCAGGAAGTACGGACGTACTTTAAATTTTTGTTATGAAATTAAAAAAAAAGATGGGTTTTGTAAAAATAAAAAAAAAATATTTTTAGCAGAACAGGACTTACAGGGTCATTGTCCCCACAATGTGCCAGTCGACTATTTGCACTTACCTTGTCCTATATATCCGTACGGAGGTGTGCAATTCCTCGCGTCAGTAGCCTTGTGACACTGAACCTGGATGGATTCTCGAGGAGCCCTCACGCCGATCCATAACGTTGCGAAGGGAGACTACAGGGATCTCACGACAAATATTCTGATACAATACTCAACCTCGGTATATATATATGTATAAATATATGTATATCCCAGCGGCACTTTATACTGTTCACTGTACAAAAGCTTACAGTTTTCCACAAGGACTTTAATCACGAGCTGGGAAAAAGATGATGTAATTACTTCGGGGCTCTGCGGAACCTTCTGTGTACAGCGCCCCCTTTCTGTTGTGCTATTGGTTGCAGCTGCCATGCTCAGAATGCGTTTGGAGAGCTGAAGCAAGGTGCTCGCAGTCACCTGAGGCCGCCCACGCGGCCCAGGGCCGCAGCCGCCCTTAGGGCCGCCATCGTTCATAACAGCACATGCATTTCCCCGCCGCGTTGTGTCTGCAGCCTCTTTGCCAATATAGTAATGCTTTTAGTAGAGTACTAGATAGTATCAGTTTTGGATTCTTATTGTTATCACCTATGTACAATGGAAAGGGATTTTAAGCACAAACCTGCTGCTCATGTAACGTTGGTACATAATATCAAATCAAAAGTTATCTGTGACTTATATAGGGATCACAAAAGTGTCACATATTAGAATGCTGACCTTTCATATGGAATTATTGTGAGTCATCAGAGTTTATTATAACTTATTGTTCATATTCATTTCTAAGTTAATTTAAGTAATCATTTATTAAGACAGAATTTTGTATAAACTATTTATTGTGCTCTCTGTGGAACTGAAGTTTGATTTATTTTTGTACTACACGGCATGGGTTTGTTGACACTTTAATTTTGCTATAAATGTGTGGAATCACAAGTTGCTGTGATACTTCATTTTTAAATTGTGAACTTTGTACAAATTTTGTCATGCTGGATGTTAACACATCTTACTCTAAATAAAAAAGGTGTTGCCACATTTGTAGCACGAAGGATCTCTAGCCCGGGTCTGCGTCTTCACTTGAGTCTGGGAAACAGTGTCTGGGCCCATGGGGTCCCCTCGAGCCTTCACTCCAACTTAGTGGCTTGTGGCATTTTTACCAGTTTGGTTCTCAGCTCTGAGGCATACAGGAGTCAGTGACTTCCCAAAGACTCTGTGAGAGTCTCGGCATCCCCACCGGGCCTGCCTATTCCATTTGCTGTCGCTCCGGCCCCTCACTGGGCCAGGTCTTCTGAGACCAAAGCCGGAGAGGAGGACATGGCGCCTCCCGGCACAGACTCCTCTGGCAGGGAGTTCTCCGCCAGCACGTGCAGCTGCCACACCTGGGGCATCGCCACTGTGCATGTGGCGACATCTCAGCACGCCCAGCGTGGGGGGGAGTCATGTCCTTTGTAGAGTCTTTCTTCTCCTGGAATCCAGTCGAGGAACCGCACTGCTCCCAGTTGCTCCATCCCTGTCCCTGTCACCTCCTTATTACTGAGCAGTTTCTTGACCTGTCTCCCAGAACGCATACAGTTTTCAACTGTCCAGGGCCGTTGTTCTACAAAACGCCCCAAACTGGCGAGTGTGACTGCCACCTCCCGACTGATTTGGGTTAAGTAGGAGACGTGTCCTTCTCCAGCTTCACGTCTGGGGGCAGAAGGACAGACGGCCCCTTGTTGGTTACCTGGGTGTTGAAAAATGATGCTTCATGACTTCCATGCTACTGGTAAGGATCCCAGCAGCAAGTCACCCATAAAACTTAAGTTACCCTTCAAATATAATCTAACAATGAATTACCCACTTTCACATCAACTATATCAGTAAATGTCACTGTTTAAAATTCCAAAATATCCTCCTATCAAAGACACAATCACTTCAAACATAAAATTTGAGAAAGAGACTCTGATAACCTTGGTGAAAATTCATAATTTATTCCCAGTGGAACCTGTAGCTGCTTCAAGATTCAAGGTGCCCTGAGCACTTCCTACAAGCTGGTGTGTTCTGAGCACTGCTTCCTGGAAGTGCTGGGGATTGCAGTGATTCCCCCTCCAGATTCGGCCGAGTCCTCGGAGCTGACAGAAGAGGGGCGACTCTCACGCCTGGGACCCCTGCATCTCTGTCTCTCTAGCCCGCAGGGTGGAAGGAGCTCTGTCAAAGGTGTCTTTAGGAGCAAGGCAAGTTGCTGATGTGCTGACTCAGGCCTGTCTGTCAGGATTATTAAAAGCTATTTTCCCATAGGAACGGTGTGCCTGAGAATTGGTGTAAATGTTTTAGAAAACAACTCAACAATATTTTCAGAAATCTTAGAAAATTTATATTTTGACTCAGTCTATACTAAAAATACCAAAAACAACTGCAAATGTACCAAAATCAATAAAAACAACCCTAAAGTCCTATTACAGAGGAATGATCAAGCAGTTCATGATCCATGAAGTCTCTGGAGTACCAGAGAGCTCTTAAAATAATGGCTATAAAAACCTTTTAATAAGGGGATTGCAGTAAAGTAGGCGAAGAGTACAGAAAAAGATTACAAAGCACGAAGAGGCAAGTGATCAGCGAAAAGAGTTGGGCTCTGGCAGATATGTGCAGAGATTTACTCTGAGCCAAACCTGAGTGACCATGGCCTTGACGTGGCCTCAGGGGGTCGTGGGAACATGTGCCCAGGGTGGCCGGGGCACAGATTGATTTTCTACATTTTAGGGAGACACGAGACATTAACCCAGTCACTGCGGTTACACACTGGCTCGGTACAGAGAGGCGGAAGGGCAGGTGGCTTCCAGGGCACAGGTAGATTTAAACATTTTCTGATTGGTTGAAAGCGTTATTGTCAATTGTAGGGAGTGTACAGTTTGCAAAAGGGGTTGTGGAGACCACGGTTCTTATTGTGCAGATGAAGCTTCCACGTAGCAGGCTTCAGAGACAATAGATGGTAATTTTAGTTGTTGTTGTTTTCAATTTGAGATGGAGTCCCACTGTCGCCTCCTGGCACAATCTCGGCTCACCACAACCTCTGCCTCCCGGGCTCAAGCGATTCTCCTGCCCCAGCCTCCTGAGTAAGTGAGACTACAGGTGTACACCAACACACCCAGCTGATTTTTGTGTTTTTAGTAGAGTCAGGGATTCACCATGCAGGCCAGGCTGGTCTCGAACACCTGACACCTCAGGTGATCCACACACCTCAGTCTCCCAAAGTGCTGGGATTACAGGCGTGAGCCACCGCACCCAGCCAATGGTCAATGTTTTTTGTGTTTTTTAAAATCAGACTTAGGGTCTGTGTTGATGGGAATGCTGGTGGACGCTTTTCCTGAATTCCAAGAGGGAGTAGGGCTTGGTGAGGCACGTCCCACCCCTCCCTGTCATGCCCTGAACCAGTCTTTCAGGTTCAATTTGGAGTGCCTTGACAGGAGAGGGAGTCCCTTCGGGGTTAGGGCCGGGGGCACTTTGACGTTTATTTTTGGTTGACAATGTTTAGGTCACCCTGAGGGTGGGTTGGCGTTTGTGGCTGGGTCTGGCAGGAATGCACTCCCCATGGCGCTGCCCAGAGGAAGTCAAGGAGAAGGTGGAGGAGACGGAGCAGGAGGAGTCAGGGAAGCACTGGTCAGAAAATCAACGTCTCTATGTTTAGGAGCAAGAATGGGAAATGCCACGGGGCAAAGAGCACAGTGAAAGGCACTGTGTCTTCTGCTCGGTTCCCTAGGGTCCTTTGTCTGAGACCAGCCAGCCGCACATACTTTGCCTTATGAGACCAAAAGAGAAGGCCTGACTTTACATTTTTCTCACCATGGGCAAACAAATGAATTTGTTTTAAAGCAAAAGGCCTGAGCACAGGAGGATGATTCTGGAGGTTTGGGAGGAAAAGGCTTGGGGCTGGCACTCCCCGGGTGCGCAGGGCATCCTTAGAACAGCTTCTCCACTCTCCTGGGGCCCCACAGCTGCATCCCCAGGTTCCCTGGGTACGGAAACAGAAACAGCCCAGGGCCCAGAGCACAGCAGGAGGAGGGAGAGACGCAGTGAGAGGGAAACGGTAATGCTGCTACTGGCCCACCCTGCATGGAGGCCGCCTGGCCCCTCCATCCACCGTTATCCTACAGAGACGCTGTGAATTCCAAAGCCTGGCCCCCCTGCCCCCAGAGGTTCTTATCACTGGGAGGGTGAGCCAGCATCCTCTCCACGCCCTCCTCTCGGGAAGGAGCTGCTCCAGTTCCATAAGCAGTCATTTCTGGCCCTTAGCACAACTGCATGCAGCTCCTCCGAGCTCACCAAATGCCCTCTTTTCTGTGCAGTTAATTTGAGGCCTCTTCTGCTCAAGAAAGACACGAGCCATTATGACTGACAGCAAGAGCTCTCTAGCCAATGTCACAAGGATTGACAGTGTGTCATCATAACTATAAACCAAAAATAAAACTTGAAGCCCCCCAAACGACTGAATGAATGGACCCCTCCCCTCAAAGCGCTAGTTCAGGCCACGAGAGGAAGTCGGGTTTGGACATGCTCGTTCTACCCTCCGGTCTTTGGAACTCAGGCACAGCTGACCAGCTAACACTGCAACGGAGGCCTGAAGCCTGGTAGAACAGACTGTTTAAGTCTGATAAGAAGCATTTAGAATCTATTCTCTCTCTGAAGCCTGCTACAGGACTTCATGTGCATGATAAGAACCTTGGTCTCCACAACCCCTGATCTTAACCCAGACACTCCCTTCTATGGATTCAGGCTCTCAGATAAACTCTTTCAACCAATTGTCAACCCAGGAAAGCTTCGAATCCACCTATGACCTGAAGTGCCCCAGCACTTGGAATTGTTGCACCGTTCTGGACCGAGCTGAGCTAACGTACATCTCACATGCATTGATTAAGGTCTCATATCTCCCTAAAATGTATAAAACCAAGCTGTCACCCGACCACCACAGGCGTGTGTTGTCAGGACCTCCTGAGGCTGCCACAGGCACATCCTAACCTGTCCACAAAAAGAGTCAAACTCTATAAATGTTTGAAGAGGTTTACTCTGAGCCTAATAGGAGTGACCATGGCATGACAGCCCTCAGGGGGTCTTGAGAACATGGGGTTTTAACTTTTTTTTTTTTTTTTGAGATGGAGTTTTGCTCTTGTTGCCCAGGCTGGCATGCAATGGCACCATCTCGGCTCACAGCAATCTCTGCCTCCCAGATTCAAGCGATTCTCCTGCCTCAGCCTCTCAAGTAGCTGGAATTACAGGTACATGCCACCATGCCCAGCTAATATTTGTATTTTTAGTAGAGATGGGGTTTCTCTATATTGGTCAGCCTGGTCTTGAACTCCCAACCTCAGGTGATTTGCCCACCTCAGCCTCCCAAAGTTCTGGGTTTACAGACATGAGCCACCTTGCCCAGCAGGGCAGCTTGGTTTTATACATTTTAGGGAGGCATGAGGTATCATTCGAATACATTTAAGAAACACACTGGTTTCGTGCAGAAAGGTGGGAAAACTCAAAGCAGTAACTGCCAGGCTATCGGTGAATTGAAACATTTTCTGGTTGACAATTGGTTGAGTTTGTCTAAAGACCTGGGATTGATGGAAAGGGGATGTTCAATTTAAGGTAAAGATTGTGGAGACCGGCTGGGCGTGGTGGCTCGCACCTGTAATCCAAACACTTTGGAGGCCAAGGCGGGCAGATCACCTGAGGTCAGGAGTTCAAGACTAGCCTGACCAACATGGTGAAACCCCATCTTTAAAAAAAAAAAAAAAAGATTGTGGACGCCAAAGTTCTTTTGAAGTTCTATAGCGGCTGTCCTTCAAATGTTTCCTATTCAGATACTTTTTTTTCGTTTTTCTTTTGGGACAGAGTCTTGCACTCTCGCCCGGGCTGGAGTACAGTGGTGTGACCTCGGCTTACCGCAACCTCCGCCTCCTGGGCTCATGAGATTCTCCCGCCTCAGTCTCCCAAGTAGCTGGGATTACAGGCACGCGCCACCACACCCAGCTAATTTTTCACTATGTTGGCCGCACTGGTCTTGAATAACCTGACCTTGTGACCCACACACCT